GATTCCCCGATACACCAGTAAACCCTTAGGCGTCTCAAAAACAACTCGTCCACGGCGACGTCCAAATGCGCCGAGTATTTGCCGAACCAGTCCATTCCCATGATCACATCATGTGCATCTATGTGGCAAATCACCAAGTCTGTGGGCATATCAACTCCACAAATCATCACTGAGATGTTCCGGACCTTTCCATAGGTCATCATCTTTTGTCCACCGGCTGCTTTAATAAGACCAAAGTCTTGTTCCTTTTGAAACCCACCTTTACCAATCATTTCCATGGACACAAAGCAACGCGGTCCCCTAAAATCAAGCAACACATGAGTTTCCACATCACCCATTAGAATGGTCCCTACACATTTGCCTAGAATGCTAAGAATCCAACCCGACAAGCAACAAGCAAATTACCAAAAACATTAGCTAAGATAAGTGACAAGTCTTATCAGTGATCGGACGTGAAGTGCTTCCTCATTAGTGTACTCCGCGGACACCGAGTAAACCCTTGGCATGATTGCTGGCCTCTTAGGCGGCGGTAGCAGCTCCTCATTTGCCCATTTCCCAGCAAGCTGCATGAGCTTCGGACAATTTGGTCTCAAATGACCAGCTTCACCATAATTGTAACATGTCCGCGTGTCCGGCTATCGCTCCCTCTCCGGGCACTCACTGATCCGATGGTCCTTGCTACCACAACGGAGACACTGTCCCAAAAGGAGCCTGCATGTACTAGAATGCATCTTTGTGCAAGAAGAACACACTCGGTTCTACCCCGATGACTTTCCTTGGAAATTCTTCTTCCCCCAATTCTTCTTATGTCCGCCACCTTGATCTGATTTACTTTGCGGAACAGATTAAGTTGACACTTGAGAATTCGAAAACTTTGCTTTCTTCTCAAGACGAGCTTCAAGCAATGCTGCCTTTTCAACCAACTCAGATAGAGTCGCATAATCCCGGATGCTACAACCGATCTGAAGGTCAACATCCAGCGCACGCATGAATCAGCGAATCTGGGCTTGTTCGTCATCCATGTCTCGGCCACCAAACTTCTTAAGCCGATCAAAATCCACTTGCAATTCCCTCACCGTCATTGATCCTTGACGCAAGTCCAAGAACTCCGACTCAAACTTGTTACGAGCTTCCTGTGGAACATACTTAGCGTGAAACAAATCACGAAAAGTTTCCCACGTACAGTCCGGATTCGCCATCCGATTAGCAACATCAGTCCACCAAGTATCCGCCTCATCAGCAAGGTAGTGGATAGCAATGTCTTTCCGATACACAATCGGACACCGAATAGAGTTGAAGTTCCTCTCCAACCGAGTCCTCCATTCGACCGCCTTGATAGGGTCCGCACCACCGGAGAAGTAACTCGTCCCCAACTTCATCATGTGATCCATCACGGTCAAGTACGACGGAACGTTCTCCTGACCCGCTGGTGGAACGTTTCCCACTGGTGGATTCACCGCTTGCTACGGAGATAATCTTTCCAAGATTTGCGCCAACACGCCCAACACTTGCCCCATTTCGAGCGGAACAACACTAGCACCCGCGACATCAGCAGCAGCTACACCGATTCCCCCACTGATAGGTGCATTTAAGTTTCCGACATTTCCATTAGCCGTTTGCTCATTCTCTTCATGAGCAGCATTTCTTGTTGAAGCGTTTCCCAAATTCCTAACAGGTCGAACCATCTGCAAAAACGCAAAACACATACAAATATACTATACGACTTCAAAAATGCAAGAAGACTAACTAAGACACTGAATGCAACAAAACACAATGAAAATACCAATGAAACATGATAAAAAGGGATAATAAAAGCCTTAATAAACCTTGTAAATATGAAGTGTATCACTTATCATTAATCTTTAGGGTTCTACCTTTTAATATCAATCAAAGCTCCCGTCGTTTGCAAAACCGTACTTTTCAAAATGAGCGGGTCTTTTGGCTCTACATCCATTTCGAGCACTACAAAATTAATTGAGATCTCAATCGAAATGTCCAACCATAATAGGTATATCTTTGAGCAAACCAACATGTGTGTCCTTATTAAATGATCCGCTAGCACAAGAGATATCTTACAATCTTTTTACCGCGTGAAACCTAGCCTCCTAGCAATCAAGATGGGCATTAGACAAATCAAATTTCTTTGCTATCACTTTGTTTTGGAAGGTAGCACTACATTCATGAGCTAGGATGACCATGCCTTACAACTTTTTATTATTCTCCATAACTACATCTTTCATAAACGTGTTGTATATAGGTTTTAATAATAATGCATCAATGATGGGCATAATGACTATAAGTATTATACGTGTCCGCTTTCTCCATTGCTTCTTGGATAGTCTCAAATTATTTATACTAGGGGATGCACCCTGGCCAAGAGCGGAACGTGTTGTATATGTAGAAGAAAATGATAAATATTGTCAGATTTAAGGAATGGTTTTGGGAGAACACACTTTATTATGTGTATAGGATGTCTTGTGTTGTTGTATTATTCCAATAGAAGATACAATATATATATATATATAATACTAGATAAGGGCCCACGTAAAAATGCGGGTTAAAATTTATGTTTTTCGTATGAAATAAAAATATTACATTTGTTAAAGTTTGAAAATGATAATATTAACAAACAAAAAAAGAATCAATATTAATTGAATATCATATTTTCTAATATAGATTAGGGCACATCTAGCGTTATTTCTTTTCAAAATGAAATTAAATTTTTATTGTAAGAACGTTATAGAGAAATACCCTAGGATGCCATGAAAAAAAGTTTTAGTTCCTAAAATACCATATACTCCTTAATTTTTTTAATAATATCATTAATGAATAATCAAAAGGACCATTATACCCTTGTAGTATGAACACAAAAGGAATGAAGCTTTTTGAATTTATCGATCCAGATCGATCGTACCATTTTTTCGTCATACCCCGACGTTGTTTCCAGCGATATCTGGCGGTTTTGTCTCGCTACGACACCATCTTCGTCGTCTCTGTCATGTATGTCGTCTCCGTCGTCTCTGTCTTCCTCTCACATCGTCACTTTCATATTGACTCTAAGATCGTCTTCCTTTAGCATCATCGTCTTCGTCTTCATTTGGTATCGTCAATCCTCACCATTATCTTCCTATGGCATCATCATTTTTTGAATTGGATTGATTCGATCTCAATTCTAATCGCATCTCAACAGAAATTTTCATCGACTATATCTCTGACTAGAGAAGTTATTGACAAAGATGGAGATCGTACATTTTTCTCTTGTCCTTGAACTCTTTCAAACCTTTTTTTGAATGCATATGATTTTGCTATTGTTGGATCTTGGTTTCAAGCTTTAGATTCTTCTTTACAAAGACATGCTTGTTCTTTGCTTTGAGTTCCATTAATTATATATAATTCAATTTAATTGTTCTATTTAAGCTTTATAGAGTGACACTAGTTTGACTCATTTTTCTAATCCTTGATTTCATTTTCATGTTGCATTAACATTAAGGAGATGGGGAAAGTGATGAGTTTCCTTGGAAAAAATTCAACCAAAGCAGAGCTTCCAAAGACATGAATAATGAACCTCTGGAGATTGCTTTTATTTGGCGTTATGAGGAAAACGTTGTTGCTGGAGGTTTGTGACCATTGGCATTATCATTTCCTTTAAAGCTTCATGTTGAATCTGTGACCACTTTCAGAAATGTTTGCGGTCTGATTGTAGAACTTCACTATATACACACTATATGCATAGAACTTCACCAAATCTTGGATAGTCTCTATTGTGTACTATATGCATTTCAAACTTCACCATATACACAAACCATAAAAGATAAAATAATCATAATAATTGGAATGTCTATTTACATTTCTTTATACCACCACACCAGTTTTTTTTTTTTGAGAATCCGAGATTTTCATTACTAGTAATCTAGTATAATAAGAGTCCACTTAGCTTTGTCAAAATTTTGACTAATATCTAATTTACAAGCCATATAAAAATTAGGATAACTTTGAATGCATCAATTCATAAGATATTAAAATATGGGAAATTATCACAAATTTTGTTTCCAAATTAATTAACACACCATCACTAAAAGTTATAGCACCATATTTCAAAACTGAATTTTCAAAATTAAATACTAAACTCTAAACACGTCTAAAACCTATCGCAACAAAACTATACCCTAAATGTAAAAGAGTAAATCCAAACCTTGAAAAAAATTCTAAAACAAAAATTTATAATATTTTAATTGTGTGTAGTTTTAGAAGTTTATGGAGTGTGTGCTATAATTATCTATAAAACTTTTTTTAGTGTTATTTGAGGATATATCTTTTTCTTAAAGAATATTATCACTAATCAATATACTAATTTACTAAGAATAAATACAGAAAAATATATGATGATTCGAATACATTTATAACAATCAGATATGCATTGTTGGATAAGGTTATGTTTGTAGGTTTATAATCTCTAACATGTCAAAATTTATATTTTTGCAGATTAAGCATCTACGTATGAACCATATGATTTTAAATACCCTAAAATACTATCAAACTATACCGGTACTAGAGATTTTTTTCTTTAAAAATATCACTATAAAACCTTTAGTCCAAGAATACTACAAACATCCAATATGAATTTTAGACGGTTTATAATTTTAAATTTTGGTTTAGGATTTATTTTTTAAGGTTCAGAATTTAGTTTTGAAGGCTTAAGATTTAGATTTAGTGTTGTGAAATTTTCAAAGGAAAATAAAAACTTCTAGGGGTATTTTCGAGAAAAGAAAACTAGTGATAATTTTCAAAAGAAAAACATATATTATTAATTTGTATTTTTGAGATGTACCCTTATAATTTTTAATGATATTACATAGTCCATAAATTGTTTAAATTATTCCGTATAAAAAATGTCAGCCTAAAATAACAAAATGTGCTTTATTGGGCCAATTTCACTATAACGCAATTTTATTAGTTGACTAAAAAAAACATTTTTCATTCAGTTTTATTTTATTTGGCATATCCGATCAAAGAGAAATATTCAGGAAGGAGGAAACAACAATGGCAACGGCTTCTCCTCCATTTATCTCAACTCTCAACTTCACTCACACTTCCTTCAGACCCAGTTTTGCTTCTTCTTCTTCTTCTTCTTCTTTCTCTCCGAAGCTTCTTCGACCCCTTTTGAGCTTTTCCGTCAAATCTTCCCGGAAACAAGTCGAGGTAATCAAATCTTCTCCAAATCTCCTAACTTTTCGAATCCTCCATGAAAGCATTGATTTTTCTATTCTAATGCTATTAGATTGTGAAGGGTTCTTGCTCAAATTCAATATCTTTGAAGCAATTTTGGCAAAAGTACTCTTTCGATTTTGGATTCATCAGTTAGTTCTGACTATTTGAGTTTATAAATGTGACATTTTTGAGCTGATGTTTTGTGGATGTGTCATTTGTTATTGTTAGATAGTGTTTGATCCTGATGAGAGACTGAATAAGATAGGTGATGATGTTGACAAAGAAGCTCCTTTATCCAGGCTTAAGCTCTTCTCACCTTGCAAGGTTTATAAAGACACTTCCTTTTTCTTGAACCATCTCTTTTGCTTTTAATTTTTACCTAAAGAATCAGTGGCATGTCTTTTACGGTGTAGATTAATGTTTTCTTGAGGATAACCGGAAAGCGAGAAGATGGGTTTCATGATTTAGCCTCTTTGTTTCATGTGAGTTTCTTCCTCATAAGTTTAAGCTTTGATGTATTTCTCATTGTCTCTTAGTGTCTCTGTTGTTATCTTTCTGCATTTGATTAGGTGATTAGCTTAGGAGACACTATTAAATTCTCATTGTCGCCATCAAAATCCAAAGATCGTCTGTCTACTAACGTTCAAGGAGTACCTGTTGATGGGAGAAATCTGGTGAGACGGTTTTTCGTTATTCTATTAATATATGATCTCCCTGTGGCCTTGTGGATGAAGCAGTATTCTAATCCTCTGGTCTGTGTTGTTTCAACTTTTTATTTTGCAGATTATAAAAGCACTTGACCTTTATAGGAAGAAAACTGGTAGTAACAGATTCTTTTGGGTAAAAACACTATACACCAATGATTTCTTTTACTACATTTCTTTGTGAAGTTTTGAACTTATATTCTTTCTTGATATGTAAAAGATTCATTTAGACAAGAAGGTACCTACCGGTGCTGGACTCGGTGGTGGAAGTAGTAATGCTGCAACTGCACTCTGGGCTGCAAATCAGCTCAATGGAGGTCTTGTCACTGAGAAGGAACTCCAGGAATGGTCAAGTGAAATTGGGTCAGATATTCCTTTCTTCTTCTCGCATGGAGCTGCCTATTGTACCGGGAGAGGTGAGGTATGTTTTGCTGAGATTTTTCTCAGCCTTCTGTTACTTTGCATACCTTTGCTCTGATACAGTTTTCTTTCCATGCGTATTAAGTTGGGGCTTTGGGGGTTGTAAAAATGATGCAGCTTATTTTGCTGAATTCTAATGTAAAGGCTAATGCAGATTGTCCAAGACCTTCCACCTCCTTTTCCTCTTGATCTTCCGATGGTCCTCATAAAGCCCCGAGAAGCATGTTCTACTGCTGAAGTGTACAAAGTAATCAACTGAATCTGATAATGGATATTTTAATATTGCGAAGCTTCTGGAATTCATTGCTTAAGCTTTTATTTTTCAGCGTCTTCGTTTAGATCAGGCGAGCAATATTAATCCCTTGACATTACTTGAGAATGTGACCAGCAATGGTGTATCTCAAAGCATTTGCGTAAACGATTTGGGTATAGTTGATATGCATATGCTGCACCTCCCTTCCTTTCCATAGAAGATAGTCACATCTTTAAATTTCAAGATTCAGTCAGGTTCATGGACCATGACTAACACTTTTGCGTTTTCCAGAACCGCCAGCATTTTCAGTTCTTCCATCTCTAAAACGCTTGAAGCAACGGATAATAGCATCTGGGCGCGGGGATTATGATGCCGTGTTTATGTCTGGAAGGTATCTTTTTCTACAGCTATTTTTGTTATTGCCACATTATCGGAAAATTCCACAAAATGTACTGTGCATTGCATCGTTAGCTCATCTAGTGAAAACAGTGTGCTACTGTTGTATTGGTCTTCCCAAGTGTATCTTAACAAGCTAGTACAATATCATAGTTAGTGAGCTGAGTACGGTTTTCTTGAATTAGAGATTATAAATGAGCTGATTAGTTTTGATATATTTTTTCTATGAACTGCTAACTTTTGTGGGATGAATGCATAACAGTGGAAGCACTATCGTCGGTATCGGTTCACCAGATCCTCCACAATTCATATACGATGATGAAGAATACAAGAACGTGTTCTTGTCTGGTATGCTCTTTTCTTGTAATTTACAAGTAATGGTTTCAACTCTTCTGAATTGTGTACATGTAAGGACACTAATTCCAAGTAAACATGTTGCAGAAGCAAACTTTATGACTCGCGAGGCTAATGAATGGTACAAAGAACCTGCTTCTGCAAATGCTACTACCTCATCCTCTGAATCTCGCATGGATTTCCAATGAGTTGTTATGAAAGATGTAATAAAGGATTGATTTGAAGGTTGTACTACTTTTGTTTCTAAGAGTGGTCAACCAAAGGAGAGAAGATGCTTTAAATATAAATTAAAAATACGAAAAAGAGAGACATATTCACGAATAATATAATCAAAGGGAGAAGCAACCACACATAAGTCATGAAACCATTGTCTTTTTTTCTTCTTTTATTACTTTCATTTCTATATGTAACCCCTCTGCTCTTACAGGGAAGGAGACACATATTGTCTAGACAAACTAAATATATCTTTTCCTTCAAATGGTGATGTCCAGTCTTGAGAGGTAGCTGCTTGTTGTGTTTCGACGATAACACCAGCACCCGCATTCTCCATAGATCCACTATTGCTGCTGTTGACTCTACCTCCCATGGAACCATTTAGACTATACCGGCTCATGTTCGTATCGTAAGTGTGGCTGCTGCTCTTTAACCCGGACCAGTTTCCATTGAATCTACTATTTTGGGATAAACCTTGATCTAGACTCCAGTCTATGTTGGTGTAGTGCACTGAACCGCCGCCAGAGACCCAATCTATTGGTGAGGATGCACCTGATGTTCCGGCTGAACCAACCGCAGAGAATAATCCCAACGAAGATGCAGCAGATATAGATGGAGGTGATGCAGTGTTTCTGGTCCATAACCCGCCATTCCCTCTGGCCATGCTACCATGTGGATCCACTTGGTTGGTGTTACTGACTCGCTTCTGGTTTTGATATTGAAGTTGCTGGTAGATCTGATTTGGATTCAGATTGTTTGGACTAGGGCTTCGCGCACTAGGGATATTATGTGTTTGTATGAACCCATTTGACTTCATCATCTCTATGCTAGCTACAGGATGCCAACTGGTAGGAGGTGAGCTCATGCTTGAGGTTGGAATGGGATTTGTGCTTATAACTTGTGGCCGCTGCCTCATTGCCATGACTGATTCTCTATTTGCTGGCTGCTGCGGAAGATTCTTAAATTCATTTCCACTAGCTAAATAGCGAGGTTCGGCCCTTGCAGCAGGCTGAGGTGACGGGGATGGCGATGATGGCAAAGAGTAAGAAGCAGAAGGAACTTGTCCTGTACTTGACCACCTTTTATCAGCCAAAGCAGCAGATTGCTGAGGTTTTGGCCACTCTAACTTTAGTTCAGATCGTTTCATAGGCTGAGCCATCATTTTATTCACAGTTTCTGCTGTAGAGGGTGATTTTGTATAGTTAAAGCTCTTGTCATCTCTTGGTGGCTGTAAACCAGGTGATGGAACAGTTTGTGTTTCTGGCCTTTCTGCATCTGAATTCTGATAACCTATTCCTACTGTATGTTTACCATTACTGTGTGTAAGAGGATCACCAGATTCTTCTTGTTTCACTGGAACAGAAAACTCTTCATATTTTGTGCCTTTCATAACTTCTTCTGCTCTGTCCAAATCCCCCTCTGCTTGAACAACCGCACGCTCTATTTCCTGCCTTGTACACTTAAGTTGTAGCTCCATTTGTGTAATCCTAGCTAGTTCTTCTGTTATGTCTATTTTCAAATTCCCAGGACTCTTAATGCTTTGCTTCTCAATTTCTTCCTCGCCCCTGTCAAAATACCAATGAACAGACTCCTCTACTTTGCCATCATTCATCATCAACGCCGTAGTTGCATGCTCTTGAGATATCCCCATTGCCACAAGCTGCTGTGTAAGGGCCTCAAGTTTTCTAGACATAAGATACGTGCTACACTTCTCATACAACTCCTGAGCCCTCCTCTCTTTCTGACGTTGATGTTTTCTCTCATTCTTCTGGCGAACTTTTTCTCTCTTATCATTATCTGCACCTGGTATCACCTCCTGCTTAAGAGCCAGATTAGTTATCTTCTCCTTATGATCCTCTGACTCACCCGAACAGCTACCGTTATTCGAAACAGAATCAGACTCAACCCCATTAACATCAGCCTCATCTATACTCCGGAAACGACCATACTGTAATGGCGAGACAGAACCTACAGAAACCGAATCAAGAACCTGAAACGTTCCCAAGAGTGGATTATAAGCACTAGCTGCCATACTGCTATTCCCATTAACCGAAACCGCAGACTTGGGCGATGCCTTTTGAGCTTCTTTTCCATTTCTTTTATCCTTTAACTTAGACTTTGTTGCTGGTGACATCTCTGCAAAGAACATCAATACAACCTAAACCATATCAAGAAATGAGCAAACAGTTAATGTGATACTCTGAAAGACACTTCTTTTATTAAGACTACATCATAACACACCCCTTATGGACTTAAAGATACAAACTTTAACCATAGAAGAGATTTTGCAGGAAGGTCAAAATTAGAGAGTTAAAAAGGGAATTTGAAAACAATTCAAAAAAGACTCGATTTTGGTAAAGACGATGAACGGGGAAATTACAAAGAAGGTGAGAAATTGACCGACATAGCCAAAAGCTTGTGATTTTCGTACTACTACACATGGAGGCACGAAATGATCCCAGAAGATGTTACCAGAATTCGACGAAGAAGATGATAAAATACAAAAAAAAACACGAATTGAGAGAAACGAAGAGGAACAGAGAGAAGAAGATGAAGCATGTAGTACCTGTGTAGGGAAGAAGAAGAAGATGAATTTTGGAGATCGATGTTTAATTTTGTCGTCGTCAAAGGAAGAAACTGAATCTGCAGAAAGAGATGATTTTTTTTTGTTTTTAGGGTTTTTGTTGGGAGAGAAATGGGAAAACAAAAAAGAAATGTTTTTAGTCAATATTTTTTTGCGAGCCAATGGATATGTAACTAATGTCACCACTATACTTGTTTCGTTTGGTCTGTGTTTTTTTTCTTCAACTCTTTTTATTTTATTAAATTTAACTAAACTAATTGACTATGAATAAATTTGTTTAACACAACTATCCTAGGAAGTAGGTGGTAGTAGAAGTATAGTACTAATCATATTTTTATATAATGGGTGTTTTTTTCATTGATTTGATTTAGCTATTATGCAAATAATTTTACATTGTTTTCATTGAAGATTGTTAGGGAGAGAAAACAAGATGGTTTTAGTTTTGGGTATTGTTTGTTGTAGTTGTGGATATGAGGTCTAGTGTATGGGTGTTTAGGTGGCTTAGAAATGTATTTTAAGTAACTAGTAAATGCATTAATCTTTGTAGAGAAGGTCAAAGATCTCAAACAATCTACAACATAATCTTTCTAGAGAGAGTTAAAGATCTCGAGGAAGTGAATGTGGTTACAGACGGACTTATACCCTAACCGAAGATTTTTTCAAGAGATGATCAAAAGAAAGGTCGAGTTTCTGACCTAGGTTCCAAAATTCCTAGTCGATAAAACTTTAAGCGGCAAACTAAGTACTGCACTGTGAGTGTTAGGCTGATGTGCCACGAGATTGTAGTCGTGGTACTTAGTTTAGGAATTGGGAGCATAAACTTGTAAGAATCCTTGGTCTGATAAAATTAAGTGTTATTGAACAAACAAACAAAAATTAGCCCTTAATTTTAACAAAAAAAAAAAAAAATGCTTGGACAATACACAATGATAGTGTTGTTCAAGCATTATGATAATCACCCTAAATCCCTAATGGGCTTACTCCATATTAATTATGCGTCTTTGGTCTTTGGACTTTGGAGGCAGGGATTGAAAATTCGTACAAATTTTTTGTGGAGGTGTAGTAGGAACCAAATTGTACATTAGATGAGGTTAGTCTAAGATCCCACAAGTTTGGACAAGTTTGAAATTGTAAGTTTTTCCACTGACTTTAATGATTTTAAGGACTAAGGAGATGAGTGACCTTAGAACATGTGCATTAGCGTATTTTGCCAAAGTCCCACACATTTTTTTATTTAAATTTAAATCAGAAAAACATAATATGTGTAGGGACGTTCCTTATATTGGGACGAAATCTCTGCGTCCTTAAGCCAACGTGGCATGATGGCATGATTCCATTGGTTGCAGAACGAAACAACCTACTTCGCAAGTAATTATACTAGTTCGTTAGCCAACATGGCATGTTAAGGACAATTGATATTGGGACACCAATAAACTTGCTCTTAGAAATCACTAAAAGTTACACATGTTGGGTATCTTGTCCAGATATAGTTCTAGTATATATGTTGTACCTCAATCAATCATTACTGTATTACCATAATATTTAAACAAGTTACTGTTACACTCAATACACATTTATGAAAAAATGATTAAAAAAAAGAACTAAAACACACAACACAACACAAGGCTTTTATTGATCCATACATGTAATGGCAGAGGCTGTCCCCTGTCTTCTTCTTGGGTATAAAAGCCCCCAACCAAATATACAAATAAACAATAGTGGGTGTTTTGTATATGTGTATAAATCTATATATATAAATAAATATGAGGGAGTTGATCAGACTTTGAGAGTAGTGTGGTAATCAATCAATCATCTTCTCTGGAAATTGAAGGCTTTAATGGCGAAAGCAAAGACAAGTGAGAAGAAGACACAAAAGGCCACTACCATAATAGCAGAGACACCTAAGAAGTCATGTTTGTATCCCATCACATCTTCAAGCAGTTGTTTCACCATTACCTGATGTATACCGTCTGAGAGTTTCACCGGTCTCTCATCATCACCGTATTGAGATACCAATAGACCGTATAGTGTCCAAGCTACCGGGTTTGCCCAGTAGTACCACCTCCACCACAATGGAATCCTCTGTGGTTGAATCAATTACAAAACATCATATGTAAGAAAACCATAAAGATGAATAAGTAATGATATTTAGTATTTGTACCTTGTATGGGATCATGAAGCCACTGAATAAGTTCCATAGCATGTAGAAAGGTGCTGCTATGATTGAGGCAACATTGTGGTTTGGTGTGATTGCTGTTGTCATCATCCCGTAGAAGGTGAAGTACATTATCGAAAAGTACATGAAGAATAAGTACCACAAGAACTTCACTGCAGACCATTCGAACGCTGCCATGGCATAGAATATGCTGCTGTATATTGTGGATTGTGCTAGCACGTATGGAAACTCTATAAACACCTGTAAACTCTTGCAAAAGTTTTATCATGTTCCAAGTTTTTTTAAACTCAAAAGGGGAATGAGAAAGAGAGAAGATAAAAACATATGTGTGACCTGTGCAAATGCAAAAGGAAGTGCTGAGTACATTCCTGCTGCTCTCTCGCGGTATGAGACAAATCTTTCTATGGAAACAACAGGCTGTGCAGCTGTTGCATTGGTGATTCCAATGAAGAGAACCGCAGCATACATCGATCCCATTGCGTTAAATAACTGTTGTTGTGTGTCCCTATAGATTAAGGAAATGTACCATTGGTTGAAGAAATTGCTTTTGGTTACAGAACTGTAAGCTGCATTTTTGTTTTACCTTCTTGAGCCAAATTTCCAACATATGGTTCCAAGCATCAGAGAGATAACCACAGTGTAGAAGAAGCGAACTGCGGTGTATTGTGGGTTTCGCCAGTATGATAGGTTTTGTTTCCATAGACAAGCAACAAACTGACTATAGAGTGACTGAGAGTATCTAGTTGGAAACTCTATTTCTTTTGCAATATTACTTGGTTTGCTGAGGACTTCGATCAGCTCCTTGTTGCGTCTGCAGTAGAAATGAGACAGGGGATATGGTAAACCAAACTTATGGAAAGCTAATTTAAATTTGACATTCATGGTTTTGACTAAATGGGGAAAGTTACATACTGACACAGATTTGAGTTTCTGTAAATTTCAGCAAAATCAACTCCAAGCCGGAGTTCCTCGGTGGAAGAGGTGACGTCAAGCATCCATGCTGCCGGATTATGGCCAGGTTTGATCTTTTGTACCCCTTCAATTGACTAAGGAAGCAAAGAGTAATTGTAAAGAGACTTAAGTTTACATGTATTTCTAGTTCAAAAAATACATGGATCAAGAACAAAAGTCTACCTCAAAATACTTGACAAGTTCACATGATTTCTGGCCTAGTGGACCGGCATAGATGAGCTCACCACCACGTTTCATGAACAAAAGCTGCAGAAAAAATAAATGAGCTTTAGATATGATGACTTAACAATTCTACAGACTGTTTGATCCATTGTTTGAAGAACCAACCTCGTCAAATGACTCAAAAATATCAATGCTAGGCTGATGAATCGTGCAGACAATTGTTCGCCCTGTGTTAACAATATTTCTTACAGTTCTCATCACAATGGCAGCAGCTCTTGCATCTAATCCTGAAGTTGGCTCATCCATGAATACTATAGAAGGATTTGCAACTAGCTCAACAGCAATTGTTAGTCTTTTCCTCTGTTCAGTTGATAAGCCATCAACTCCAGGAAGACCAACCAATGCCCCGCTCAAAGACGTCAGCTCAACTAGCTCCATCACCTCATGAACAAACGCCTCCAAGAATTTGAAGTTTAGAGATGTTAGCATAATCCAAGAAAAAAAAAATATTGGAATGATCAAAATGATGATGGAAATATGTTACCCTTTGTGTTTCTGAGTCGATGTCAGCTGGTAAACGAAGGCATGCCGAGAAAAGTAGAGATTCAACAACAGTTAGGCATGGAGAATGAACATCGTTCTGCTCACAGTAACCTGAAATTCTTGCAAACGTTTCCTGCCTTTTGGGAAAACCAGATATGTACACATCGCCTTCTATAGTTCCTCCGGTTTTTCTTCCAGCTAAAACATCCATGAGCGTTGTTTTACCCGCACCACTTACTCCCACCAATGCTGTAAGAACACTTGGTCTAAAAGCTCCAGTAATATTCACAAGTAGCTGCAACTTATCTTCTAGTATCCCTTGTTCTTTTAGTCCCTGAAATTTTTGGTTGCATGAGCTAGACTGCTAGAAATATAAAATGCCTTATACCTAAACACTGTAGAAACCTATTACATACCAAGGGAACATCCACATAGTAGTTGATATTTCTGAAAGACAAAGATAGTGGTTGAAACGGGAGAACCATGCCTCGATTCTTGAAATATTTTCCTGGAACAAACAAGTTATAAGCATTAGCTTCTTTCAGTTTCAGTAAACAGATTAGAGAGGAGAAGATTTTGTTCCCTCACCATGTATGGAGCCTGAATGCTGCAAGTACTCTCTTAGTTCCACGACAAACTCATCGCCTTTTCTTTTCTTTTCTCTATCATCCAACTCTTCTCTGGATACAACAGCTTGAAACTTACCCCAAGCTATGAATAGTATACACGGATATGGACAAGATCAGCACAATAGTTTATAAAATGCAAGTTGTTGATGCTTTAGGTATACAGAAAATGAAAAGCTTACGGTTGAGATAAGCTAGGAACAGCGTAAACAGTATATTGAAAAGAACTGTGTATCCAAGCAAGGCACCGATACCGATCCAATACCAGTAGTTCCCAGAGAACAAACTTCTTTCTTTCAGCAATGCCAGACCAAGAGAGTCGCTGGTATGGTTCCCAGCACTCTTCATAAACAGGAAACACAACCATTAACTAAAGTACAGTACTATATTCCACATTCAGACCAAAAATTATAACTAAAGAAGCACTTTATATAGATATGTTTGTACTAGTTTCACCTTTTGCCAGTTATGGCCGAGGAACTCATTCACGGAAGCTGCGTTTTGAGCATACATCAAAGGAGAGATCCAGTAACCCCAAATCCACCAGCTTGGTATGCTATCTGGGAAATTAAACAAGAGAATGAATATTCATGTGGTGAAGGAGAAGAGTTTAAGGTCTCCAAGAGAGAGTATAAAGACCTCTGGATATTATAAATCCTCCAAGAGTCATGACCACCAGCATTGCAAAGGACCCAAAAGTATTGGCAACTATCATGTGTCGGCCTAAAGAACCCATAACGCGGAAAAGACCCAAGGACATCTGATGCAGTGTGAAATAAAGCAAGAACTGCTGAAGAAACCTGAAGATTAGAGACGTTCACTGTTAATTATTCTATACAGTCAAATCCTTGCCAAGTTTAACTTTTTATTAGAATGTACCTGGAGAAAAGAGGATCATATCCAATTGTATAATATGTTACTGCCACCCATGTTGCAGATTCTATTATTGAAGTAGGGATACTCAAAAGCCAAGAAGGTAATGTATAAGCCCAGCTTGGGTAAAAATGCAAGTCTCTGTGCTTATAAAGAACGGGAAGCTTGGCTACTAGCATTGGCACCTCGGTAAATCCGTTGAACAGAATGATAACCATGGAAAAGTAAAGCGACCCAAGATATATGTTGCCATCATCAATAGTCTTGTGATGCATTGTTGTCCGGCAAAAGACAGTCATTGTGATCAAGGCAACTAAAAGAAGCTGCAAACACGTAGTATGTAGAGAGAATGAAATTAAATAACGCACTTACCATTCCAACAGAAAGAAAGGGACTGAAGTAAAGTCATTAGAAGACAAACCTGAACAAACTTGAACACATAAATAAATGCGTTCTGTTTCATCAGTTGCTTCTGCCAGGCAAAGTTGATCTTGAGAAGTTCACTCTTCTTAACACCATACTGAGATGTCGATAAAGCCGCTGAATGATTGAACCGTTTATCAAATGGAACCTCAAGTTTCTTTGCCAACTTCTTGCCAGTTGTATATGAACGAAAAGCTTCAGCAAATTTTCCAGGAGGTACATAGCGATAAGGCCGAAAAGGAACTGACCAATACTGTTGCTGGTCTTTCTTTGAAGTGACCTATTTAACAGAAAACTCATTCAAGAAACTGAAAAAAAAATGACTGATGTAACTCTACTTCAAATTCTTTATATCTTACCTCTTGCAAGAAATCTGCAACATTTTTTCTCTCAGGACAACTAAATCCCAACGACGAAAAGAAATCAAGAACCTCGTCACGAGGGCCTTGGTAGATAATCTGTCCCTCAGACATAAGGATAACATCATCAAACAACTCGTAAGTCTCAGGAGACGGTTGGAGTAAAGAAATGACAGTGGTTCCTTCGAGTGCGTGAGTAGAATGCCTCATATACATGATAATTTGATGAGTCGTTGAACTATCTAAACCATTGGATATTTCATCCATGAAAAGGACTCTTGCTGGTCCTACTAATAGTTCTCCTGTGAATCAAATCCCACTCAATGGTCAGTTTATCTACTAGTTGTTGAATCTTTATATATGAAAAAGAGTTAAAGAATGAGCAAACAAACCTGTCGTGAGCCGTTTCTTCTGCCCTCCTGAAATCCCTTTAATCATCTCATCTCCTACCAATGTGTCCGCGCATGTGTCCAACCCTAGAATCTTTGTTGGATGTATGAGAATTTCAGAAAGAGTTTGAAAAAAATGTACATACACACTAGTGGAGTTCACTATTTTCTTTGTTTTTGAAGATATGGACAAAGATACTGTGTGAACTGCGACTTCGAGTTTAAAGAAAAGTAAGTGGAGAATAATACCTTCATAACATACTCCACAACAAGGCTTGTCTCCTGTCCTCCTAGAGCTAAAGACTGGAGTATTCGAAAAAAAGCGTCACGAAAATAAATCGATAAAGAAGAAATGGTTTAGCCTTTGACTAAAACACCACAAGTAGTACCTTCATAAATATATCAAGATCTTCATCAGGTACAATTCCTGCAAGCTTTTCTCTTCTTGCCAACTCCAAAAGCATATCTATGTTATGTCAAAACACACAGAGTCAAAACTAAGACATAAGCAATGCAACTCACCACACTACTTTCTTAGTAACTTACCATATTTGAATCCAACACCTTGACAACGACCAGCAAACTCAAGAGTCTGTCTCACTGTCATCTCAGCCACATGCCAATCCTGTTGGCTCACATACGCAGACGTCCTCGGCGCAATAATCTCTTTGAGATCGTAGCCGTTGTATGTTATTTTCCCAGACGTCTTCACAGTAACCAAAACAAAAACTCAAAACCAAAGAAGCATATAACAAAAACATAAGCATCTTCTAATTGAGTTTTTACCTGAAGATTAGTTCCAAGACGACCAGCTAAAGCTAAGAGTAATGTAGTCTTCCCTGAACTTGGAGGACCTAGTAGAAGTGTCAATCTAAAAACAAACAACAAAACATAAAAAATAGACAAAAATAGCAACAAGACATAAGTATATATAAAAATGGAGTTTTGTAATAATACCTCGAAGGTCTAATGATCCCACTAACACCATCTAAAATCGTTAACTTATTCCTCTTCCCACCAATCACACGTATGTTCCTTAACAAACCCTGTTTAAACAAAACTCTTCTCAATTAGTATCACTAATCACAAAAACTTGCTTAATCAAAATCAAAATCTTTAGTATAATACTTCTGCCATGTTAATAATGAAATTGGGAATTGTAGGTAACGCTCTGCTTCCAACATGAACGAAAGATTCAACCATCAGATTCTGAAATCGAACTTCAATCTTCGGAAATTTCAAATCCACACTACACCAAAAAACAAAATAAAAAAAACATAATTACTCCCCAAAAAGAACAAAAAGTGCATCAATAAATGAGATTTTTTTGAACTAAAGATTGAGTGAATTTACGCGTCGAATCTCTTCCTAACGCGAGCGAAGAACTGTTCAGGATCATTCTCAACAGAATTAACAAGACGATCGAGTAAAAGACGTTGCTCACTAGCTTCGAGGCTACCAATTTGGATCTCTTTAGGCTCACCAATCATATCCCTAAAGATACCTCGACGGATACGTGAATAAGTAGGAAGACGTTGTAACGCAGCCCAACGAAGCTCTTCTTCGTCTTCGATTTCGTCTCTAAACGACGTCGAACGCGAAAACGCGTTCTCCGCCGAGTTCCACATCGGAGAGTGTTTAGAGATTTGGTTTTTTGGTTTTGGTTTTGGTTTTTTCTATCTCTTCATCATCTTCGTTGTGGTGTGTACTCTCTCTTCACATTAATCTCTCACCACTAGACAACTGGTAGGTGAAGGCACCATTAATGCGGAAAACTTTTTTTTTTTTTTTTGGTTTTTCTCTTTTTTCTCTTTGTCTCAGTGTTTTTTTTTCTGGTGTCTCTCTCTGATCTGTACGTTAAAGTGAAATTACAGTTGAGAAGCGAGAGAGGCTCATTAATACTTAGCGGGAAAAAAGAAAAAAAAAAACAATTTGTTTTTGTATTTTAGGTGTGTGTGTGTGTGGATAATGGCTTATAAACGTAAAATAAAAATAGTGTTATATATTATTGTCTCTTTCCTTTAATAGGACACTATTAAATTACACAAAATCGAAAGAACCAAATCAAACTAAAAGAACCGAATCAAACCGAATAGTCGATATTCAGTGTTGAATTAAAAATCGAACTTGGTATCCAAACTATTTAAAATGTTATGTTTTTGAATAATTGAAACTTGTAAAAGTATAATTATAAATTTGGGGTTATTAGATATGTTTAGATTCAAATATGTACCAATATGCTTAAACTTATCACTACTCTAGTTCATTGCTTTTACATGTGTCTGAACTCGGGTATCTTATGATATGTTCAGTTTTTTTATTAATCTTGATAATATGTATAAAAATGACTAGCATAAAAGTTAAAACTAAATTACTTATTTATGAAAATACGTCATATTCAGGTCAAACCAAAAATCAAATGTTGTATCCGAACTATTTAAAATGTAATTTTATAAAACTTTAAACTTTTATCATAAATTCTAAAATTTGATATGTTTAGGATTTGAATACCTAAGATATTAAAATATCTGATACTATCAAAGTCAAAATTATTTTACAAAAAAAAAAACCAAATTTTATTAAAGTAAGTTTATCTCTATAATTTTCTAGAAAATGAATTTTTTTCCTTAGTATTTTTGATACTTAATAAAAATGTATGATCAATTAAAAATTTCTATTTCTTTTTCAATTAGCAATTATAGATTTAGAACTAGTGAAAATCAGTTTGTTATTTCTTTGTTCATGCATTATAGATTCTAAATCTATTAACTGAACTATCTGAAATTTGAAAGTACTGATTAGAATGATGTGAGTTGAAATTATTTTTTTTTTGGTAATCGATGGGAGACCTTGGTCTCCCATTTTATTCAACAAGAAGAAAAAATAAATTACATGCGGACCGTCCGCGAAGTAGCTACTCCGTTTACATCATCAAGTCGCACCGAATCACAAATATCGGGACAAACATCTAAAACAAGAAAACCAAGAGGTAAAGAAAACGCATAGTTCGCTAACCCGTCTGCAAGACGGTTAGCTTCCCTAAACACATGAGTAACCCGGACTAACCAGTCCCTCGAAAGAAAGCCATGGCACAACCGTACCAGGAAAACCAAAGGATGAGCGTCATGAACCCCTAACCGCAAGAAATTCACAACTAACTCGGAATCCACCTCCAAAACCAACTGCCGCCATCCTCGCTCCCAAGCTAGAACCAGCCCATAATATACTCCCCAAAGTTCCGCCATTGGAGCTGTACATACCCCGATATTGAGAGCAAAACCGACCAACCAGCCGCCGTATTCATCCCGAATGACCCCCCCTGCCGTAGCTTCACCCGGATTACCACGGGATGCTCCATCCGTGTTCACTGTTACCCATCCCGGACTAGGTTTGCTCCATGCAATTTGTCTCTCCATCCTCACTCCCGTAGTCATTCTGCCACTAACGAGCGTATGCGCTTTAATCACCTCCCCGGCCACCTTCTTTATAAAGCCTACCCGGTCACGACATAATCCTCTTTCCCCAAACACATCCTTGCATCGCCATTTCCAACCCCACCACACGGTTAGTGTAAAGATTGTTGGCCAGCTTACCCCGTCTACTTCCACCGTTGCCGTTAAATTCTCGAACAACCACTCCAATAAGGATTGCGTGTAAAACGCCCGTTGTCTTGCTGCCGGAACCAACCTCAACCATAAACCGTGCATAGCCGGACAATCCCTCAACACATGGAGTATCGATTCGACCCCCTCATTACACACTGAACATATCTCTGTATCACTCATATGTCGTCGGAACCGTTCCTTGTTCGTTAATATAACTCGGTGAGACACTAACCAGAGAAATAACCGGACCCTTTCTATGGCGACAACCCTCCAAATCTGCTCATAAAACCGGGACATACAGATACCCGGGTTAACATTTGTTGTTATCATCCAATACGCAGACTTCACGGTAAAACGTCCGTTCTCCGTTCCTGGCCATGACAACGTATCCACCATCCCCGGGACACCTTTAACCACTACCGAGTGCAACATCCGGGTTATCTTCTCGGGCAGCAGCTCCCCCAACCTTTGCATGTCCCAGCCAACGCCATTTATCCAATACTCCTCCACCCTCCGCTTCTTCTCCGCTTCGGACAGTTGTCCCGAGACCCACTCCATCAATGGCTCATTTAACAACCACTTATCCAACCAAAAACGTATTTGTGTCCCATCTCCCGGCACCCAACCAACACCTTTCAAGATCACTTCTCGCAAGCCCACACTAATACTCCGCCAAGTCGACGAGGCGTAGCTCTTTGGCCACATCCATGTCTCATCGTGAATTTCCCTCACTTTATACTTGCATCTCAGCACCCGTGCCCACAAACTCACATAATCATTCAATAATCTCCAGCCAACTTTTGCCAAAAGAGCTACGTTCATCTCCCTCGATTTCTGAATACCCAAACCACCGTCGCTCTTTGGCTTTATTACTTGATCCCATGCAACCAAATGCATCCTCCGCTTTTCTTGCGTACTTCCCCACACAAAAGACCGAGACAACTTATCCAAACTCTTTAACGTCGAGGCTGGAAGTAAAATTGTGCTCATCGTATGCACGGGTATCGAAGACAACACCGCTTTCGTCAGTGTAACCCGACCCGCCAAACTCAACGTACGACTACGCCATCCCGCAAGCCTTGATGACACCCTCTCAAGTACTTCCCCAAAAGTTTCCTTATTTATCCTTTTCTGAAGTATCGGCATGCCCAAGTACTTGCCCAAGTCCCTTGTAGCTCCAATTCCACTCTCTACGGTTATTAATCGTTCCAAGTCCCGGCTCACATTCGTAGAGAATAATATCTTGGACTTCTCAAGACTAACTTTTTGACCCGAGGCCATACAAAACTTATCCAAGATACCTCTAATAACCCGCACTTGAGCAACTGACGCTTCGGCAAACAATATTATGTCATCCGCAAAGCACACATGAGATAACTTCGGTACACCTCGTGAAATCGTAATGGGTTTCCATTCCTTCCTTCCAACCGCTCCTTCAATCAGGTGGCATAGTCTCTCTAGGCACAACACAAATAAATACGGAGAGAGAGGATCCCCTTGTCTTAACCCTCTCTCCGGGACAAATGATTCGCTCTTCTCCCCATTCCACAAAATACACATAGATGGATTTGAAACACACTCCATTATCCGCCTTCTCCAACCTTCTTCCAACCCCGCAGCCCTCAAAGTCTCCTCCAAAAAATCCCACCGAATCCTATCATAGGCCTTCTCAAGATCCAATTTCAGAAGCATCCATCCCTTTCTTCCTTTCTTCCTCCGCATCGAGTGTACCGCCTCTTGGACCACTACGATATTATCAATGCTCAACCGACCGGGGATGAAACTTGCTTGTGCCGGGCCTATTAGCTTTGATATCACAGTCTTCAGCCGTATAACCATGATCTTCGTAATCACCTTAAAGAGAACATTACACAAGCTTACAGGCCGGAATTGAGTTATCTTCTCCGGAGACGCCACCTTGGCCAATAACACAATTAACGCATCATTTGCACCCGCTGGTAACACTCCTGACTCAAAAAACTCCAACACAAAATTCTTCACGGAACTCCCAACCACCTCCCAACATGATTGATAAAACACCGGTTGGAAACCGTCTGGCCCCGGTGCTTTATACTTGCCCATACTCTTCACCGCAACCAGCACCTCTTCCCCCGTAAACGTCTTTAACAACCCCTCCTTCTCCTCTCTTGTCAAACCCGGATACCCATTACAAGATAAATGCGGGCGCTCCACACTTAAACCTTCCAACGAATATAACTTTTTATAGTAGTCCAGCGCTAGACACTCCAACTCCGTTTTGTCCGAGACCCATCTCCCCTCGTCATTTTTCAGCATTTCCACTCGATTTCTCCTTCTTCTAATGATTGTAGTGGTGTGAAAAAATGTTGTGTTCCGGTCCCCTAGAGCTATGAACCTCTCTCTTGACTTTTGAAACCACAATGTCTCCTCTTGTTCTAGAATACCCTCCAAAGATTGCATTAGTTGTTCTTCTTTCTCCAACAGCTCATCCGTTTGTGCCACAGCCAACAAATCTTGGATAGCTTTTACCTCGCCTAACAACTTCTCTTTTCGTGTGTTTATATCTCCAAACACCTCCCTATTCCATTTCCGCAAAGTCCTTTGAAGTCCTTCCAATGCTTTCGGGGTTGAAATATTAGGATCCCAAGAAGCAGCCAACAAATCTTTGAAACCCCCATGACTCAACCACGCCGCTTCAAATCTAAACGGTCTCCTCCTTGGATCGCCAGTGGATGTTGGGCTGAGCTGCAAGTACAATGGTGCATGGTCCGATGATAGAAAAGGTAAGTGTTTGACGCTCCCTTCTTGCCATCGTAGCCTTGCTTGTGGGTTACAAAACAGTCGATCTAGTCTCTTGGCTATATACGTTCTCGCGGTACGACCTCTCCGCCAAGTATATGGGCTTCCTTTAAACCCCAAATCAATTAAAGAAAGCTCATTAACCCACTCCCCAAAAGCTAGGGAATCTGGCGAGAGTCTCCCATTCCCACCTGTGCGCTCATCCAACCGTAAGATAGTGTTATAATCCCCCCCCGATTACCAACGATCCATCAATGCCTCCAACCACCTCTCGTAATTTACCCCAAAGTCCACTCCTCCGACTAACGGTTGGTGCAGCGTAAACCACCACCAGATGGATTGCATCCACCCCGACTCCCACTCTCGCATGTATAAATTGGTCTGACGAATCAAGTATCTCCACCGACCCAACTTGAGACCGCCATAATAACCACAAACCCCCGCTTTGACCTGTTGCATCCACCCGGAATGAATTGTCAAAACCTAAACGTTGGCATATCAATCCCGCTCTCTCCCCATGTGCATGTGTTTCCAATAAAGCGAGCATATCCGTATCAAACTTCTTCAACAAGTAACGCATTGAACGTCGGAAATTGGGTTTGTTCGCCCCCCGGCAATTCCATATTATGCAATTCATAAATACTGCTTTTAACAAACGTAAAATTGCCGGGGCAACCCGTTAGCATTCCTTGATGGACCCATCTAAAGCCATCAAACTACCCGTCACACTCGATGAGAGGAGGGTCTCCTCTTGCACCACTGCCTCATCGGTCCCAGGACTAGTCGAGGCTTCAACAACCCTTGGCTGAGCAATGTTCCCGGAAGGCATCCAAGCCGACGTAGACACACCCCCATCCCTGCCAATATCCGCTTGCTCCGACCTTAATCGCTTCCCCGAAGCAGCCAAACTTTGCTCTCCTAAAACAGGCCCAAAAATCAACCCCCTAGTGGGCCTGTTCCCTAACAGGCTTGTGCTTCTCGGCCCAATACCCTTACCACCTTTCGGTCCATTAGTTTTCTTCATCACCCCTCCCCCACGATTTCCGCTTTGGACCCGAAGCTCCCGCCCTGTTTTTATACTTCCCTTCCCGAGATCACTCCTCATTACTACTGTCGGGATATTCTCCATATTCACATTTTCCTTATTATGCACCGTCACTTCCATACTTGTCATAACTTGGTCCGCCACCGAATCCGTAGTCAGACCACTAAAGCTGTTCGAAATGGGAACCTTTCCAGAATTTGGACTCTGCCGAATCTCCCCCGCATTCCTTTCTTGGACCTTGTCTGATTCACCCGATCCGATCCCACCTGTCCTCTCCGCCGCCAAAGCCCTAGGACCCGTCCGACGGATAACCGTAAACCCCTGAGCATCCGTCACCGTCCCCCTTCCTCCCGATTGCTTCTCTTCATGTTGGACCCGTAGCTGAGAAACACTCTCCGTTAATCGTTTTGGACATACACTCGCTAAATGCCCATAAATTCCACACGATGAACATATAGTATTCAAGCCCTCATACGATGCCATGTATCTCTCCCCATTCACCATGACTGAACCTTTCAACGGCTTCTTCAAGTTAACCTCAATACAAACCCTTGCAAACCTAGCCCTCTCCACCTGAAGCGTTGTCAAGTCCGCCCTCAAAGGTTTGCCTAACGCTTCTGCAATCCCCATCAGTATGGTTTTATGATAGTAATGTACCGGAAGATTCGAAATCCGGACCCACACCGGCGTAGTTTCGATCTCGTCCTGCATCGGGTTAAAACTCGGTGACCATGCTTGGAACATAAGCAAACTCCCAAACAAACGCCATGGTCCTCCTGTGACAACTCCCATATAATCGTCTTCCAGCTCAAAACGGACAAGAAAGAACTGACGCGGTAGGTCAATCACCGTCATCCCTCCCTTTGGTGCCCATAACTCACGCAACTTCCTGAGTAGCGGCGCCAACGGAACATTCCTCCCTAATACTTTCACGATCATGCAGTTTTTCCATAGACTAGTCATAGCCGATATCACCTCCTGCCCAATCGTCACCACACCTTCCCCATCGTCTCCATTCGGGAATTCTAGCCTCATCCGTGAGGCGACGAACTCCTCATCCAAAACTTTCTCGGGGATTGGTCTGCCGCCCCCCGCACTACTCTGCACCTTCTCCGCATACGTCAATAACGGTATCAGCCCTACCCCCGGCGGACGCCCGCTTTCTTCCATACTTGCATCCTGACTCTCCTCCCCAAAAACCCTAGTCGCCTTCTCCAAAACCCTAGTCGCCATTTTTCAACTTATGTGAGTTGAAATTATAATGACTACTATAGATTTATAATGGTATTTTATGGAAATGTAAGAAGTCTAAGATTATTACATTTTGTAATTTTAGTTCTATTGTTAATTCTTGTGATAGTAGACTGAGAAAAGTGGGAATCATGTTATATTATTGTCATTATAATCACTTTATCATGGTATTGTCAAATTTTATCATAGAGAAAAAATAAACATGATAATCTTGGTATCATATTTGTTATTGTAATGTCAAATCGAGGTAGGATTCTGAATCTCATAATAATTGTCATTCTAGTTTTGGTTTTGGTATACATCTTTTGAGGCGGAAATATCTACCCATGATTTTGTTATACATCCAAGTTTATCTCCATCTCTTTAATTTAGTAAACCTGGTGACTTTAAAAACTCTATCTCAATAAACAAGTGGAGTCGACGTATCTAAAAATAAACAAAGAACATAATGATCAAACATTCAATGTCATTGAATTTGGAGTTTTAAAGTAAATTTAACATTGAAAAAACTAAAAGAAAAAAATATAATTTTATATCCAGACTTAACATACATAGAAGATGCAATCTATGTGCATACTTTCTATCTGAACAAGCAAAAGAAATAAAGAAAAAAAAATTGATCAACAAACTCAGTCGGAATATATATATAGTAGATTATAGCAATATATATATATCTACCCATGATTTTGTTATACATCCAAGTTTATCTCCATCTCTTTAATTTAGTGAACCTGGTGACTTTAAAAACTCTATCTCAACAAATAAGTGTAGTCGACGTATCTAAAAATAAACAAAGAACATAATGATCAAACATTCAATGTCATCGAATTGGAGTTTTAAAGTAAATTTAACATTGAAAAAACTAAAAGAAAAAAATATAATTTTATATCCAGACTTAACATACATAGAAGATGCAATCTATGTGCATACTTTCTATCTGAACAAGCAAAAGAAATAAAGAAAAAAAATTGATCAACAAACCTTAGTAATATATATATATATAGTAGATTTGGTCAATGTTTTGGTATCTTCATGGATTCATAAATGACTTAGCGGATTATCAAATCACTAATTTGTGGTGAGAATAATTTGTTTAGTGGCAAGTTTAATAATATATATATATATTACTAAGGTTTTGCGGCTAATTATGTATTTCTAGTTTATCACTTATGATGTCATTGTATTTTTAAAATTTAATATATGTTATCGTTATATTTTATACTTCAAATTAATTTTGTAAAATATGATTTTTTAATACAGATTTATATTATAATAAAATCTCATTTTATAATTTTACTTAGATATAAAATATTACACAATACTATTCATTTCTTTATCTGTAGACCAAAAAAATAGAACACATCTAGAGATGATTTACGTCAAATATAAATTAATAACACACTAACTAAAATACAAAAGAGAAAACTAAAACTTGAAAGAAAAAAATAAAAGTCTCACTCAAACTCTCACAACTAATAAATACCTACATTTACATAATCGTTTTGTATTATTATCATCTTTGACATGTGTAAAGGGGACATGTATAAATGGACCGTTGAGTTAGAGAGGGCTACTACTTTATAGTATATTAGTCTATTTATATATATAAATAAATAATGTACCTATTTTTCCATTTAATTTTAATTTATTAATTCTATCTACAACATTAATTCTATTTTTCCTCCCACCGATTTTTCCCATCTATATTGTTTTTTTAATTAATTATAGCAATGTTTTTATTTTTTGAAGATTTCAAAACATGTGTTACTTTCTAGTGTGTGTGACTTGTATAACCAGAAAAATGTCCAAGATTAATTAGCTGGAATCTTATGACTTTTGATTTGGTCTGGTCTGGTTCTATCGTTTTCATGTTTGAATTTAGAATTTTTTCGATTCGTGTATTTAAAGAGATGTACGATTAAGTCAATCCTAACATGTGTTGGTTAGAATAATAAATTATGGCTCATATTATTGGTGGTTACAGTTTTTTTATTTTCTCTCTAATGTATTTTTAAACAGAATGGTAAAAGATAATACATGTATATAAATTTTACTCAAATTGATTGTACCAAACCAACTTTTTGGGTCTACGGTTCATTACCGATTTGACGAACGGTTCAATTTGGTCGGACTGAAATTTGGGTTTGGTCTCCGTTTTCTAAATCAAAATTATACCAAAACTAAACTAAAATATACATAACCTTAATCAATTTTTCAATAATAACTGGTTAAAACCAGTTTTAACCGGAAAATAGTAAAAGATAATACGTATTATGTATAAATTAGAATAATAAATTATGGCTCACATTATTGGTGGTTCCAATGTGGTTATAATAATGCATTTTAACAGAATGGTAAAAGATAATGTGTAAATAAATTTTACTCAAATCGACTGTACCAAACCTGTTCTTTTAGGTCTACGGTTCAATACCGATTTGGCGATTGGTTCAATTTGGTGGGATTGAGATTTTGGTTTGGTACCGAAGTTAAACTAGAGTATACAAAAATATACATAACCTTAATCAATGTTTCAACTTTAACTACTTAAACCGGTTTTAACCGGAAAATAGTAAAAGCGGTTGAATTTCAATAATCTTGTTTTAGTCTTCTTTTGTTGAATAAACTCTCCGGCACACTAAAAAAAAAAAAAAGAGATCTTATGGGACTAATTGTTTGAACGACCAAAGCTCTCAAGACTTTTATTCATGTTAGTTTATTGTGACATATTTATGGACTGACTAATAGTTATTGAGACTCAATTCCTCAAGAATCTAATGGGGTAAGGAAATAAATGTTTGATCTGAGTGTTAATTTCTTTGTGGAAGATTTGACAAAGTAATAATGGAAGAAACGTTGTGAAGTTTTTTGTAAGTAGATGTCGAAGTTTTGATTTGTTTTTTTTTTTGAATCTTGTGCCAATCATTTTCAGTACAACTTGTTCTGGTTCTCTGACAAGATTCATATATACACTTAACTTTGTGTTATTTCATACAATTTGTAAAAGTTATAAGACTAGGAAAAGTAAAGATAAGAGTTTAGCGACTAAGCAACTAAAGAAGATAGTAAAGTTGGTCACTGACTTTACTTAACTTGACTAATTTACAATGAGATATATACTTAGAGGATTTTTGATATACTTAGTACATAAGATTAATGTGAAATATGAAGACTCTATGTTAATGGAACTGTTTGTAGCAATTTTTTTGTATACTATTTTCCGATTTTGAGGAATTTAAAACTTTCATATCGAGGAGAATGTTTAAATTTTGGTTCATAATTGGTTTCGGGGAAACCTTTATAAACTTGAGTTTATAGTGTAATCACGACGAAACAGTAAACATAATTTTAAGATTTTAAATCTAGGCCCTTGACCGATTTTTATAAAGCATTAGTATTGGGGCTCCATATTTTTTTGAAATTTTTAATAAGAAAATAGAACTCAAAAAATATTTTGGTTTTGCAAAATTAGGCCATTTTTTAGTAAAATTTAAAATATGTTTTCCATGTTTAAATTTTATCGCTTGATTTTTTCAAAAATAGGCTTTATTTTCTGAAACTTTAAGATCTGGTCTCAACTTTTAAATTTTATCAATAACACGTATGAAAAAATGATTTTGTATTAGTCGACATATGTGACAGGGTCGACACTGTTTAAATCAAAATATACACTATGCCGATTTACCATGAAATGGTTATTAGTGTGAGTGAATAGCTCAATAGCAATGTGCCGATTAAGTAACAATGAAGCATAGCATATTAAATAAACAACTATTAATAAAAGTATACAAAAATATGCACAATCAACATATGTTAATTAAAAAATATAAAAGATATGATCAGTTAATATATATGAAATATATATATGCAATTTGGGACCGAACTAAAAATCCGGTTTAATCGGGTATTTGATTAAAATATAAAGCTAGAATTTATAAAAATTAGAAAGTGTTATATGTTAATTTGATTTAGTTATATTCTAAAATCCATACAATAATTCGGTTTAATTCGATTCGATAGCAATTTTAAGAGAATTTTGTCAATTTTTTTAAAGTTATTTTATCTTAAATTGCAGTTACAAAAATTGGATTTGGTTAATTAAGAAGTATTTTATATAGTAGGTAGAATTATGAATTCTATAATTAGAACGTGGTAAATTAGACAGAAAATAAAAGTACATGTGTAAACTAGTTGAAACGTTATATTACATGGGTATAGTATAGTCAGTCCTAATAAAATAGATTGGTTAAACTGGTTAACCAAAACCTCAAATCTCGGTTTAGTTCAGTTGGAAAAAACCGGTTCATGAGAATCCGTTGTTATATGATTTAATTTAATGAAAAACTATATATTAATGATTTAATTCCAGATTTTAAAACACATAAGGAAGTGACGACCAAAAAATAAACCACATCGAAAGAGTTGAAATTTCTAGAATCGATCCAAAAAATGTTGAGATATTTTTCAGATAGGATTGGTGATGGAAACGTTGAGAATCAGAACGTGTGGCTCTCGTCTCCCACATCACTCACACACAAAACCCTTTTTACTTCCTCCTTATTTGGAGATGTCTCTATATCATCTTTTCTGATTCACCCACCATCCTAAAACCCTTCTCTCTAGATCACAAAACATGGCCTCCATTTCTAGGATTTTGCCTACAGATGGCAGATTAAGTCAATTCAGAATCAACACTTGTTGTGCTCCTGCTACAAGCAGAGCTCAAACTCTTTTGGGTATCATCTTTGAACTTGTCTTTGTTTCAGATTTTGTTGAGTCTCTTTTGCTGATTCAGGGTTTTGTTCAGATTCTTCTCCTAAGTTGGTTTGTGTTCGTAGCTCTGGAATTAGTTTGAGGGTTCAGAATTGTAAACCATTACGTTCTGTCTCTGCTCTTGAAGCAACAAGCTCCAGGTATTTTGTGGAATTGATGTGGATTGGATTGAAATGATCGATTTATATCTGGGTGTTGAATAAAGTTTGTTGCTTTACAGGAGTAGGAGTGTTGTGTGTAAGGCTGCTGCAGGTGTGTCAGGTGATGTACCTGAAAGTACTCCTAAGGAACTTAGCCAGTATGAGAAGACTATTGAACTTTTGACCACCCTTTTCCCACTTTGGGTACTTCTTTTGTTACCTTTCTTTGATAAAGTTTGGAACTTTATATGGATTTGATAGCTGAAATGGGTCCAATGTGGTGTTCTTTGATTACCTTTCTTTGGTGAAGTTTGGAACTTTATATGGATTTGATAGCTGAAATGGTGCAATGTGGTTTTCTTTTGTTACCTTTCTTTGATGAAGTTTAGAACTTTGTATGGATTCGATAGCTGAAATGGTGCAATGTGGTTTTCTTCTAGTACCTTTCTTTGATGAAGTTTGAAACTTTATATGGATGTGGTAGCTGAAATAGTGAAACATGGTTTTCTTTTATTACCTTTCTTTGATAAAGTTATGGAACTTTATGTGGGTTTGATAGTTGAAATGGGTGCAATGTGGTTTTCTTTTATTACCTTTCTTTGATGAAGTTTGGAACTTTATGTGGATTTGATAGCTTGAATGGTGCACTGTGGTTTTCTTTTATTACCTTTCTTTGATGAAGTTTGGAACTTTTATATGCATTTGATAGCTGAAATGGTGCAATGTGGTTTTCTTTTATTACCTTTCTTTGATGAAGTTTTGAACTTTATATGCATTTGATAGCTGAAATGGTGCATTGTGGTTTTCTTTTATTACCTTTCTTTGATGAAGTTTGGAACTTTATATTGATTTGATAGCTGAAATGGGTGCAATGTGGTTTTGTTGTGCAGGTTATTTTGGGAACACTTGTTGGCATCTTCAAGCCGTCTTTGGTATGTCTTTTTATGCTTTTTTGTTATTTTTTTTATCTATAGAAATCTGTGTTCTTTTGAGCTAGTAGGTGAAGTTTTGTAGGTAACATGGTTGGAAACAGATCTATTTACTCTAGGTCTTGGATTTCTTATGCTCTCCATGGGATTAACTCTTACGTTTGAAGATTTCAGAAGATGTTTACGTAATCCATGGACGGTGAGACCCAATGAATACTGGTGTATTTATGCCCTCTATTAGATTCATTTCCTGTTTAATGTTGAGAGTCTGTGTTCTGCAGGTGGGTGTTGGTTTTCTTGCGCAGTACTTGATCAAGCCAGTTCTAGGTTTTCTCATCGCAATGGTATGTTTCCACTAATGTCTATCACATTAACTTCTATTTTCTTTTCTGAAATGGTTGCTTATGCAATATTTTTGATGACTCTGTTCTTATTTTCTATATTGTTTTAGATATTGGTTCTATTCGTTTCTACTTGTGTAGTGTGTATACGCTTTAACCAAGTGCGATGTTGAGTTATATTATTGATTAATAATACTTGATTAAACTTAGATTTGATTGTTGTTGCATTTTCAGATATCACTTCCTTAGGTTGAATCAACATTTCCTTTCTACAGTAACAGTTCCTGGCATAGTCACTCACTTCTTGTTCTTGTGGGCTTCCTCTTGTAGAGAGGATTGCTATGAACTTGTGCTATGTGCATTTGTGAACACTACTATTTCATTGATGGTGATTATTGAGGAGGCAACTAATACACACTTTTCCTGTGTTTTTATTATAGACTCTTAAGCTTTCCGCACCTCTTGCGACTGGCCTTATCCTAGTCTCATGCTGCCCTGGAGGACAGGCGTCAAATGTTGCTACCTACATTTCCAAGGGGAATGTTGCGCTCTCTGTACTCATGACAACGTATACATGTTTTTTCTTCTCATTCTTTCTTTTTTTTTTTGTCGTTTTTAAATGTGGTTGTAGGCCTCAATTTTTTAACGTAATGCTAACTCTATTGATTAGGTGTTCAACCATCGGGGCTATTATAATGACTCCTCTTCTCACTAAGCTTCTTGCTGGCCAGCTTGTTCCCGTTGATGCTGCTGTGAGTTTTCTTTAATGCTGAATCAGTTCATGCAAAATTGCAGTAAGCTAATAAGATGACTTTTCATAAAACTAGAGATATAAATCATCATGGTTCAGTAAAAGTTACTGAATGGTCTAAAAACTAAAATAAGCAAAACAGAACTCTATAATAAGATAGTTGCAGCCTGCAAAACTGAAATCTTATGGATCTATTTTTATATATCAGGGACTTGCTATTAGTACTTTTCAAGTAGTGTTGGTGCCTACTATAGTTGGAGGTAAGTATGATGCCAGTTTTTAACAGATAATGAGTTTGGCCTGCATATCATTAGGTACTAATGTCTTTTTCTGTATGGTGCAACAGTTTTGGCCAATGAGTTCTTTCCTAAATTTACGTCGAAGATCATAACAGTGACGCCCTTAATTGGAGTCATTCTGACCACCCTTCTCTGTGCCAGCCCTGTAAGTCGTTCATATAACTAGAGTCCAGAGATATGTCTTCAGTTGAGATTTGAGTCTGAAATTGGTATTGATTATGATCTTTTTCTCTTCTGAAAAGATTGGACAAGTTTCAGAGGTTTTGAAAACCCAAGGAGCTCAACTTATACTCCCGGTGGCAGTCCTTCATGCTGCAGCCTTTGCTATTGGCTACTGGATTTCTAAGTTTTCTTTCGGCGAGTCCACCTCGCGTACCATTTCTATAGAATGTGGAATGCAAGTACGTTACTTTCTCCTCTACCATATAAATTTCTGTTTGCTACCTTTGTTAGAGATTCCTTTTAACGAAATTTTCATTCTTGCAAACCGCAGAGTTCAGCGCTCGGGTTCTTGCTTGCACAAAAGCATTTCACAAACCCTCTAGTTGCTGTTCCTTCTGCAGTCAGTGTTGTCTGTATGGCGGTAAGTTTTCACAGCCTTTTCACAAAAGTTCACATGTAGAATCTACTAAGTGTAGGAATTGCTAATCATGTTCAATGGCATTATGCAGCTTGGCGGGAGCGGTCTGGCCGTGTTCTGGAGAAACCAACCAATTCCGGCAGATGACAAGGATGACTTCAAAGAGTGAATGGCATAGGAAAGGCGGGTTGCATCACCAAACGATGTGATTGTTGTAATGTTTTACTAATTTGTGTTGAAAAAATTTTCATTTTTTTTTAAGAGACGTAGAAACCAAGGGCATGCATGAGAACTTTTGGTCAATTCTCTTTTCTTTCTCAATTAGTGGACACAAATTTTTTTTTTTGGCATCATCTTCTCCAACTTTTACAGTCGTGAATCCATGTTTCAGATTGGGGTTAGCGCTGTTCCAAGAAGTGAGTCTACTCTCACAAATTTGTAGTATCTTCTATGCTAGGTTATCTCTCAAAACAAATGAACCTAAATTTCTATTCAAACAAGATAAAACACATAGAATCCAAATCCTGGTGCTTGTAGGTTCACTCTTCTTTGTAAGTCACATTAAAATTTTGACTAAATTATCCTTTAAATCATTAAAATTGATTTTAATTTCGCATTGTGGAAAATGAATTGTAAATTTGATTAGGGTTTGTCACCTCCCTGGGAAATTCCCAGTAATGAGAGAATCCCAGCCTCTCAAAGGCTAGGACCAACAAATGTGATAGATGCACCAGCAAAGGGAAGAAAGAGAACAATCAGAAAGAAAAAGCCAGGAAGGCCACCAGGGAAGAAACCTAGCCCAAAAAATCTCCCTGGAGTCACCTCAAAGAAGAAAAAGATGCTTCAGACTCAACCCTCACCTTATAGAAGATTGATCATGGAGGATGCTCAAGAGAGAGCAGAGGGTAGCTGAAGAATCTCTTCTCAAGGCCCTGGTCAAGGAACAAGTAACATTTCAAGAGGAAGCCTCCATAGAGGATCCCAAGAGACGGCTAGTGCTAATGGCCGAGGACAAACTTCAAGACAGGGGGATTTTGGGGATCCTCCAAGCCTGCTCCCGTAAAGATTCTAAGCTGGAACTGTTAAGGTTTGGGAAATCCCATGACAGTTCGCAGGCTAAAGGAGATTCACAAGAAGTTTCTCCTTGATATAATTTTCCTTATGGAGACAAAGAATTCAGATAAGGTGGTGTTTGAGAAAATGGAAGGTTTAAATTTTACCTCTTCTTGCTTAATCTCCCCTCAGGGTCATGGAGGGGGAGGATTAGCTTTATTCTGGAAATCGGAGTTGGAGATTAATGTATTGTCAAGCAGCCAAAACTTTATCGATACTTCTATCAAAATTAAAGGAAAGAACTTCTTTGCAACCTTTGTGTATGGTGACCCTGAGAAATCTAATAGGAAGTTAGTATGGCAGATCTTGACAGGTTTAGCGACAGCTCCGAATTCTCCCTGGTATCTTACAGGAGATTTTATTGAGATAATTGATAACTCTGAGAAAGAGGGAGGCCCGCAGAGAGCTGAAGGTTCTTTCGTAGACTTTCGTTCTTTCCTATCATAATGTGATCTGTATGATATCAAATTCTCAGGTAACCCTTTGTCTTGGAGATGAGTAAGACAATCGTTTGTGGTGAAGTGCAGGCTTGATAGAGCACTTGGCAATAGTGCATGGATTGAAGCGTTCCCAAGAGGAAGATGTGAATATTTGAAGTTTGAAGGATCAGACCATAGACCTCTTATGAATATGTTTGAACACGGTGACAAGAGGAAACAAGAAATCTTTAGATATGACAGAAGGCTAAAAGACAATGAAGAAGTCAAACGCTTAGTTGCAGAGATCTGGACAGAGGATGAGAGGATGGATATTCAGAGAAGCCTCTCAAATGTGAGACGGGCGATTATTGATTGGAACCGAGAGAAGCAGCAAAATAGCATGATCCTGATTGACAAGAAGAAGGAGGAGCTAGAGAAGGCAATGGTAAGCCCTTTTTCCAAATACTGAGCTTTTGAAGAAGATTAATGAATAATTAGCTGCAGCGTATTTGGCGGAGGAAGCTTACTGGAAACAACGAAGCAGGCAACTGTGGCTACAACTGGGGGATAGAAACTCAGGTTACTTTCATGCAGCTACTAAAGGAAGACGAATCGTGAATAATCTCTCAGTGCTAGAGGATGAGGGTGGCCTTGCTGTTTTTGAAGTTGAGCAGATCGCATCTGTTATATCTCAATATTACCATAAGCTCTTCTCCTCCTCTTCCCCTTCCAGTCCAGAAGAGATAGACAAGCTAGTTGGTGAAGCTCTGAGACCAAAGACCTTAAGAGAGACCAATGCCCAAATGGAAAGAATACCAACAGACTAAGAGATCAAGGATGGCTTGTTTGGCATAAATCCAGATAAAGCGCCTGGACCAGATGGATTTTCTGCTAGTTTCTTTCAATCGAACTGGGAGGTTTTAAAGAAAGAAATCTCAGCTGAGATCCAAAGCTTCTTCTGCTCAAGGTTGATGCCTACAACTTTTAATGAAACCCATGTGTGCCTCATCCTCAAAGTTCAAGGCCCTAAAAAGACTTCTGAATATCGCCCCATAGCATTACCTCTTTATCTTGGGAAGTGAAGTTCTATCAGGTCTATGCTTAAAATCTCAAGCTGAAGGCAAAATGCTGGGAATTAAAGTTGCAAGAAGAAGCCCTCGGATTAAGCATCTTCTGTTTGCAGATGACACAATGTTTTTCTGTAGAGCAAAAGAAAAAGACTGCCTAGAGTTTCTGTCAATCCTCAACAAGTATGAACTCACCTCAGGTCAACTAATCAACAAACAAAAATCTTCAATATTCTTCTCTAGGAAAACTCCAACAGCTCTTAAACTAAAGATAAAGCACTGGGTGCAAATAGAAAAAGAAGGTGGAGTAGAAAAATACTTGGGACTCCCAGAGCTGTTTGGTTGGAAGAAAGACATATTTGCTTCAATAGTGGACAAAATAAGACAGAGAGCTTTGAGTTGGTCTAACCGCTTCCTCTCAGGGGCTGGCAAGATGGTCATTTTGAAGAGTGTCTTATCTACTATCCCTAACTACGCAATGTCGTGTTTCCAATTGCTTGTCTCTCTTTGCAAACAAATCCAATCTACACTCATTAGATTCTGGTGGGATGCCCACGATCAAAAGAGGAAAATGTGTTGGGTTGCTTGGGACTCATTAATCAGATAAAAAAAGGATGGAGGATTAGGGTTCAAAGATGTCACAGCTTTCAATGAAGCTCTGTTGGCCAAACAGAGTTGGAGAGTATTAACTGAACCTGCTGGATTATTGGCCATAGTTCTTCAAGGCAAATATTGTCAAGTTGATGAGTATCTAGAGGTGAAGTGTCACGTGGCAGCATCTCATGGATGGAGAAGTATCCTAATTGGACGAGACCTCTTGAAGAAACAGTTGGGTTGGGCAATAGGGAATGGCAAATCCGTAAAAGCTTGGACTGATCCTTGGGTGTCCCTGTACCGAGAGAGCTCAACCTATGGGACCTATGCTTGCAAATGAGGAGAACCTCACAGTGTGTGATCTGTTTTAGCAAGGCACAGTGGAATGGGATCAAACGAAGGTCTCTAGGTACTTCCCAGCACACAAAGAGGTTATTATGGCGTTAAAGCCCAGCCGGTTAGGAGCCTCGGACAGGAGATTTTGGCTTCCCTCGGCTGATGGAAACTACTCCACAAAGACTGGCTATCATGTTCCCAGGAATGATCTCCTACCTCAGCCAAGTGACACACAAGTGGGAGAGTGTAACTGGCTTGAAGAAGTGTGGAATGTTAAGGTCTCCCCAAAATTACAAAACTTCTTGTGGAAAGCCCTTGCGGGGGCGTTGCCTACTGGTTTGCAGCTAGCATCCAGAAGCATGCCACTTGACCCTTCATGCATTAGATGCAGAGATCCAGAATCGATATGCCATATGTTGTTTAACTGCCCCTTTGTAAAGAAGATTTGGGCTTTGGCGCCACGTTCAGGTACCGCTTCAATCCCAAATTTCCTCGATGTGCAGCAGGGACTCATTTGGTTAAGGAAGAAGACGACTCTACCACCAACAGGTTTAGGTAAGGGACCCTTGTACCCTTGGATTTGTTGGAATATATGGTTGTCCAGGAATCAGAAGATGTTCAACAACATAGTGTTCTCAGAGGAAGAAACGCTCCTAAAAGCCATACAAAATGCGAAGGAATGGCAACATGCCCAATCTTTAGAAGCTACTCCTAGAAGCATCCCTCGGCTACTGTTATCACAAACAACAGAGGAAGAAACAGGAAGCTCTACGGTTCACACGGATGCAGCGTGGGACCATCAATCAAAAAGGGCTGGAGTTGGCTGGATCTTCTCTTCCCCTTCGTTGGGAAACTTCTCAAGACATTCATCATGCTCTGAGTTTGTGTCTTCAACCCTTTTAGCTGAATGCATTGCCATTCGCTCAGCGTTGCTCCGGGCTCTAGATTTTGGTTTACTTTCCTTAACCCTTAAGATTGATTGTCAAATCTTATCCAAAGCTATCTCTTCTAGAACTTTGTTAGTGGAAGCTCATGGAGTTCTCTCTGATATTTTCATCCCCATTCCCACCTTTATCTCTTTTAACTATAAGTTTATCCCTAGGGCAGCTAATACTTTGGCTGACTCCTTATCGAAGTCTTGTTTGGCTCAGGTTGTAAACTCTTGATGCTTGATTATTCAATATAAGCGTTGTTCAAAAAAAAATTGATTAGGGTTAATTCGGGAATAAATAAAATTGATACATTGTAAGTGCACAGACCCGCGTGTATCCGAGAAGAACAACTGGTAATTGTCGGATACATTATCAAAAATGATATAGTTGGGCCTTTACCAATTACGAGCCCATAAGGCTGAATTTCGAATGATGATAACCTTCAAAGACAAATTTCGACACATTATATACTTGTATTATATTGGACATTACATAAAATTCATTACATAATTCCTAAAGTGAAAACCCCACATACATCATTATGGGATACATAATTTTCCTCAAATTTATTATAACTATATCGAGATTTTTACGGAAAATAAGAAATCATAGATTTTACTCTACAACTATATTTCCTAATTCACTAATTGCTATCAATCATAAATAATTTCCTAATTTTATTGACTGAAATATCGCTTTCCAACTAATGCTTAATTATACTAATTTTTATCAATCATCTACAAAGATTCCAAAACTGAAATTGCGAATCAAATTATATAAAACTTGCTAATCAAATTGAATAATAACACAATTGAACCTTGCTATCTATATATATTGTGGTGAAGTCCATTACCAAAATCACCAAACCGATCAAAACCATCAAGCAACCTTTCAAAGCAGTAACAAACCTTAATATGTCTTCATCATTTACTACCCTCCGAGAAATCAAACCCTACAAAACATCGTGGAAAATTCAAGTTAGAGTCCTTCATTCATAGAAGACATATACCACCAAAATTTGGAAAAACATTCGACATGGTTCTTCCTACATAAAGTGAGAAGAAACCAAAAAGACCTCCACCACCGCCGCCATAGCCACAACCACTACTGAGGAGTGAAGATGTTCCTGCAACTTCGGTGTGACATTTTTCCCAACAAAGGCTAACACTTGAAACTCCTAAATTTTTGGTATCTAACATGTGAGGGAGTATAAATTTTGGGAGTAGTCTACTAAAAGCAATCGATCCGTAATACATTTTCTTGGTAGTTTTTAAGCAAAGATTGGACAAAAACAAAACATATTGTTTTTTTTTTTTTTGAAAAAAACTTGGAATTTTGAATCCAAATCTTCTGATGGGTTGAATTATGAAAATCTGTTTAAATTTGTTGACAACTGAAAAACAAAGAAGATAAAATCTAGACACAGTTGGTTTTATTCAAAACGCTAATATTGAATCGGTTAATAATTAAAGTAACTTAGAATAGATACAATTATAAAAGGAATCGTAACTAACCAGTAACCTCATAAGATTACACTTGATTATATAATTGGGTGACCATCTTTTAACATTGTAATGCAGTTTTAAAATCTGGATAATGATTCCAGATCTTTCAACATAAGAAGTCCCAAGTTCCTATCTATGTCTTGAAAAATCCCATGGAAAATTATGAAAAATACAGAATCGATGTATATCAGATCAATAAGAAATTTTAAGAGATGAATAAGTAGAAAGAAAAAAATCTGGTCGTTACATATCTTTAGCTGAAAATTTAGTCGACTGTTTGAAGAAGATGAAGAGATGAGAAAATTACAACAGCTCAACAAAACAATAATTCATACAAGTATTTTTTGGGTAAAATGAAAACCAGCTTTTGGTTATTTGTTAACCGGTTTGGTTGTTGACAATAATTTTTTGTTAAATATAAGGAAATGAACTAATGTTTTGACAATTATTTTTTGTTAAATATAAGGAAATGAACTAATGTTCATAAATACGTTTAACCAATACACAAAAAAGACCCATATAATTTTAAAATTACTACATTAAAATAAAATTATTTATAATAATCACATTGAACTAGGTTTGAACCCATGGTACATCGCGAGTCTTTGTTTTTGAAATTTCGTTAAAATAAATATTGTTTTAATTTGATATCTTTTTTTTATCGTATATAGTGATTAATTAAGTTAACGATATTATACCCATATGTTTTGTATTGTGTTTAGTAAACAAATTTTGTTGTTGTGTAATTATAATACTCGGTATTATGTGTTATATATTATTGCTATATGTGAGACATATTTTTAAGTGTGTGCTAGATTCTGAAGTTTTTGTGGTATACAACAGGTAGGTAGTGTAGTTAGAAAAATATTTGATATGTGGACTCTGCATATTGTATAACTTATTCTTATTATACTTTGAAATTTCTATTCTGCTTGAATTTTTTTTTTCTTTTACAGCCTGAAATAAAGTTGTATATTATAACCTTTTGTAATTTTTTTTTAATGTAATATATTTTTAAAAAAAATACAAATTATAAGGTTTTATTGTTGAGATGGTTGGTAATATAAATTCAGATTAATTTTTTTCCCGACCTAATTTTCTATTACATAAAAAATTAGGTTATGTAATACCAAACCAGTTAAATCGCTATTTCGGTCAACAAATCTAAAACTTTGTAAACAACAATAACCCAATACAATAAATGAGAATAAAATAATTAAATACCTTTAACCAATAAACAAAAAAAAAACAACCCATATTATTTAAACATTTAAAAATTATTACATTAAAATAAAATTGTTTATAATAATCACATTGAATGTTTTACTATAGTTTATTCTATAACCAAATTAACAAATATTATAAGCAGAAAATTAGTTACTGAGTATAATCATAGTAATTGATAGTCTTTACAATTACTATTGATAAATCTACCACAAAACTCTACCAAAATAAGCACCTATATAACGTAAATCTATCAAATTCTAATAATTCTGTCGCTATTATGGCGATAGACTTATGCTAGTGCGGGCCATTTTCCTTCCGATACACACATATGTTTTGTAATATTTTTTCTCTACCACACCCTTACAAGGGAAATCCAGCCATATATAGTTTTAGCTTTCTACCCTCCAAATCAGTAATTAAACCGCATATATGTGCTAGTTAAGTATATTAACCATAAATCTATAAATATTAGGCTTATGACAAAAAAAATTAAAGGATAGACTAATACCCACACATATATATGCACAATTTTTGCATATATAATTGGTTGTTATAACAATTTATTAACTGGATGAATAATCTTATGTTGTTTTGTTATTCTTTTAATGTGTGAGTTCGAGTAAATAATTCATCCCAGTTTTTTAATTACTTAAACTAAAGTTGATTTGGTACCTCATATTTGCCTTGAAATAAACAAAAAAAAATCAACTAGTAGGTATTAACTATAACTAGTTTGAAATCCACGCTAGGCCGCAAAGTTGCTATTAGAATTTTTTTTTAATATACATATATTTTTTTAAAATCATAATCTGATTCAAGTTATTTGAAATGTAGTAGGAAAGTTAATAAGGTTTGAAAAAAGGAATGCATTTACCTTATCATTATATGCATCATCATATTTTCTTATTCTTTAATCAGATAATCTAAGTCAAATAGATAAACAACACTATTGTTACTGTTTTTAGACAAACCAAGCAATACAAGAGAAAATAACGGACTAATAATATGAAATTTTGCGCTACACCGCACAAAACATTTCAAAACTTAAAGTTAATATAAATATAATCATTCGATATAAGAAATTTCTAAGATTTGGTATTTTGCATTTACTAAGATTTTAGTAGTTTTGATTTTGCTCTTTTATGTAATTCGCATACATTAATAAATAAATTTGATATTACTTTTACAAATAAGTGTACCGTATAGTTAGATTTTGTGTTTCTTTTCTATTTAATATTTTTAATATGTGTACAACTTCTTACAAACATTTGATTTTGTCCTTATATACTTCAAACGTCTAATATACTCCATAAATCTTAACTTCTTTTGTTTATCGGTTAAAATTGGATGCACAACCATAATTTAATCACATTGTAAATAGTTAATGTCATTTTTTTCTCAATTTGATTCAGGGGAAGGTGCCATAATTGGGTACATATCCTTTTGACTCTTTCATACCCAACCCAGTCATGGCACCTTTCTGTGATTCAAATCTTATTTTTCTAAACAACCAAAGTCGGTATGTAATTGTGATTCTTATCTAAACTCTGATACATGCAATTTGTATAGTAGTTTTTTTCATTGAAATCCACATCAAAAACTTCACCAAGACTATTAGCGATGGACAGAATTGTTGTTCCAGATACATAAGGCAAAGGGATACCTCTTACCTAAACCCAAAGGTCAATAAAAGTAAAGAAATCCTCCTTAGGAAAATCTTCCCAAAGAGCAACAAACTAGTCATTAAACATCCAAAGACCTCTTCTAAGTATTACAGTCAAGTCAACTTCTGAACGGAACAAAAGTGTATAAATATGTCATCCATCACACACCAATGTACTCTAGAAGATAAACCTCAAGTTATAAGTAAGTAAAAGACCACATCTCTAAAAACAATTCTCACCAAAATAAGAGGTTGTCCAATCAAAGCTAAGTCTGTCCCTAACTAAAACTATCATTATTGATGTTCTCTTAAACAAATCTTAGAGTCATCTCTTAACAAATTTTAAGCTAGAGACCATCAATAACGATGGTCCAAGACTCTATCATCATCTTCATGCAGAATAAACAGTTTTGGTTCATCTCAGCCAAAACCAAATATTGCAATTTTTTTCTTTTTTTCCCTTTCTCTTAAAAAAAAAAATCAAAAATTATTTAATTTAATTCTCAAAATGTTTTAATCTTTTTTTTTAACAAAGAAAAGAAAAAAAAGGACACAATTTAATTATTTTGACACACGTTTAATCCGCGGAAAAGGCAGAAAACAAAAAAAAAAAAACAAATTGATGATTGCAGACAGAGAGAGAGAGAGAGAGAGAGAGAGAGAGAGAGAGAGAGAGAGAGAGAGAGAGACACCGAATCAAAAAAAAAAAAAAAAAAAAAATGGCCTTAAGGCTTTAACCCTCTCTCACCATCTCATCTCAAAACAAAGTCGTCAGACTGTAAAAAAAAACAAACAAACAACTCATCACACACACAAATTCACGACTCTTTCTCTTCTCA